AGGATGGCTGTCCTGGGGAAGAAAAGACGGCCGGCGTAATGCTGACCACATTCCCCACCGAGTGCCGATTGGTCTGTAAAAATATGGGTACTCTTTCCATATACCAGATGCGCCTAAGGGCGTGTAAAGGGATCTTTACTTTACTTACATAACTATAAAGTGAAGCTGTCTATTCCTTAATGATGACTATAAAGTGGAGGTGTATATTCCTCAATGGTAACTATAAATTGGAGGTATGCAGTATTTAAAGATAATTATAAAGTGGAGGTATATAGTGTTCAATGAAAACAATACAGTGGAGATGTACAGTTCTCAAGGATGGAGCTATATAGTATTCAGTAATAACTATGACTTTCGATTATTGTGTTCATTATTAACTATAAATTAGAGCTATAGTTTAGACTGGTCACTTTAAAGTATGCTTGCATTTTAAAATATTTATATAGTAAACAATGGCGTACGGAAAAAAACAATAACTATACAATGAAGACATGTGATTTTAAATATGTAATATAGTAACTCAAACATTCAACCGCTCACCTGTCAGTACAGGAGCATGAGAAATATCATGGTCGATAAACTGGCCCATCTGTGAAGTAGAACAGACAAACGTACAAATATAAACTGACCCATATATGAAGTCGAACAGACAAACGTACAAATATAAACTGACCCATATATGAAGTCGATCAGACAAACGTACAAATATAAACTGGCCCATCTGTGAAGTAGAACTGACAAACGTACAAATATAAACTGACCCATATATGAAGTAGAACAGACAAACGTACACATATAAACTGACCCATATATGAAGTCGATCAGACAAACGTACAAATATAAACTGGCCCATCTGTAAAGTAGAACAGACAAACGTACAAATATAAACTGGCCCATCTGTAAAGTAGAACAGACAAACGTACAAATATAAACTGGCCCATCTGTGAAGAAGAACAGACAAACGTACAAATATAAACTGACCCATATATGAAGTCGATCAGACAAACGTACAAATATAAACTGGCCCATCTGTAAAGTAGAACAGACAAACGTACAAATATAAACTGACCCATATATGAAGTAGAACAGACAAACGTACAAATATAAACTGACCCATATATGAAGTCGATCAGACAAACGTACAAATATAATCTGACCCATTTATGAAGTCGATCAGACAAACGTACAAACATAATAAGACCCATATATGAAGTCGATCAGACAAACGTACAAATATAATAAGACCCATATTTGAAGTCGATCAGACAAACGTACAAATATAATAAGACCCATATATGAAGTCGATCAGACAAACGTACAAATATAAACCTGACCCATATATGAAGTCGATCAGACAAAGGTACAAATATAATCTGACCCATATATGAAGTCGAACAAACAAACGTACAAATATAAACTGGCCTATCTGTGAAGTTGAACAAACTAACATACAGATACAAACTGGCTTATGTATGAAGTCGAAAAAACAAACACACATTAAAACAGGATTATCTATGAAGTTGTCTGCAGCTACTATGAGATATGACTTTGCTTGCATTGACTTGCTTCCAGTCAATAATCTATCGCCTACAGGATCGCATGCTGGAACATTGTGGACAGCATTCTTTGTTCTTTGTCCATTGCTGTCGTAATCTTGAGACCATTGAGTATTTTCTGGCATTCCTGAAGTAGAGGCTTCTATCGAAAATGATACCGAGATAAAATTCTATTCTCCAGAGAGCATAATAAAACAGCCGCCTTTCCTGAGTCGATGACAACTCCCATCTCTGCACACCAGTCAGTCATTTTGTCTACATTTGCTTATGTCACTAGGGCTGCCTGTTGCCTATAGCTCCCCTGCCTGAGTGCAAGAACATTATCTGCACACGTCAGTATCCTTCCACCACGTTGTGCTTCGAGTTCTGAAAACTTGCTTGTATACACACTGGAAAGCACTTATAAAAATGTAGAACTCTGTGATAGTTCGGGTGCGATATTACATGGTTCAGAGGTTCCTGTATGTACCTAGGCAAACAACAATACGTGAATGTCTTTGTACTCAGGGAAAGAGCAACAAAACGTGAATGTTTATGTACTTAGGCAAAGAGCAACAATACGTGGATGTCTATGTACCCAGGCAAGAGCAACAATAGGTAAATGTCCTTGAACCAGGGCAAACAGCAACAATACGTAAATGTCCATGAACCCAGGCAAACAGCAACAAAACGTGAATGTTGGACAGCTGTTATCTTGTTCATCAGTTAGAGACAATCATGTTCAAAAAGCGAACTAATCAAAATATCATATCTAACTCTATTGTAGACATCCTCAAGATCAACTGCTGCCCATAACCATCTCATGTTTATTCTGGGAACCTCCCGCCCCCCCCCCCCCAACTAAAAAAACACACATTAAAAGCAAAGTAGCTGCATTTGGCAGGGTATATTTCAGTGGCCGGTAACTTCCCAGATCTTTTGGCAGGAGCTCTTTTACTTTCAAAAACATGTGTAGTTTAACAACACAAATCTTTTCTAGCACCTTGCCAACAGTATTTTTCAAGGGGATAATCCATAAACCGCTGAGTCCGGAATGATCTGTGCCTAGTCTTGGAAGTGGGATTAGGTAGTTGTGTACCTCATTCTGGGTTCTGGCCCCTCCAAAATGTCTTGTTTTTTTTTTAAATTCGTTGTTGTTGCAATATATATTATATTATCCACCCTAATGACATCCTCAAAAGATTATCATTCATAGATGAATTCTAACTAAATTTATAATTTTCTTAATATTCCGATTAGTTCAGGCTACACATCTCTCCGAAAATGCTTACCCTTTCTCTTTGCTGTCATTCGCATATCATTATGACTGTTGTGATTGAAAACATCATTATCGGGGATCACAAACAGTTTACCTGCATAACCAGCATGGTGTTGTTGTCGTGGCCGGTTTGGTCCGGGTGTAGCTTCCAACTGATCATCCTAGGGGAAGGCAACAGCTCGCCCGTGATGCTGTAAATACGTGGCATGTTTTCACCTGGATATAAGAAAATTTTGTTTACAAAATACATGACAGATATGTCCACAACTTGCTCACCTCCTGGTAAACTTAGATATTATGTTTCCACTGCTTGCTCACATACTGGTATAGTGAGATGTCATGTGTCCACAATTTGCTCACCTGCTGGTTGTATTAGATGCCATGTGTCCAGAACTTGCTCATCTACTCATAGACTGAAATGTGCTCACAACTTGCTTACCTCCTAGTAGACTTAGATGTCATGTGTCCACAACTTGCTCACCTTCTGATAGACCGTAATGTTATGTGCCTACAACTCGCTCACATGCTGGTCCAAGTCCAAGTCCTTTTGAGAAAAAAAAAGAAAAGCTCGACCACGTTCAGACTGCTGCTAGCTAGCCTAGGCTGCTAACAGTCTCCGCCTATATTTGTGGTCTGGTTTATTTGCGTCACTTTCGTGACTGAATGCTGGTATTTGTGCCATTTCTGGCTTAATGCTTCCATCCGAATCAATCCGCTCGTCCTGTTGTCACTGGTGCATGTCTTCCTTCTTCATTCTTGGTGTTTCCTGTTTGTTCTGTTTCCCTTTGATCTGGCTATGCGTATCTCGAAGGAGAGCGAGCTTCCAAACACAACGACCTTTCGGCCACCATTTATTGTTTTAAAATTTTGAATATTTTAATTTTGCCAAAAAGTACTGAAAACAGTTTTTGAATATGAATAGTTCCGAAATGTGAAAATTTCCGCGTGTGACCATAGTGGTCTTATAGTTGTCTTCCTGTAATATGAACGGGTTAGTCATGTAATGGATATGTGTGTGAGAGTTTGTGTGGAGTCTTAAGCGGGTCCAGTAGTCATTTGTTATTATGTGATCGGGTTGTGTTGATAGCTAAGCTCCGGTGTACGTAAATACCATATAACCGGACCGTCCAGCTCACGCTTTGAGATCCAAATGATCGGCGATGAGAATTGTTGTGGCATGTTGGGCAACGAACTCAAGTGCTCTCTGTGGGAATGGGTTGAGGGGTTAAACTCATAGTGCATCCGAAAGATTTAGGGAAAGGTGGGGGGAAGGGGAGCGGGACGCCATTCAGTCAATTCTCGTCGTTGCCGTCTTGCTGGATTCTAGCGTGGCTTTTTGCCGGGATTATGTGTATCACGTTACCAACCTTTGCTATCATCCCAGTGATGGGGTGGTATTAGAGGTTATGCGTTCTGGTCCTGTCATTATCGAGTCACTTGTATTCCCTATTTGTTGTCAGTCATATTTTTGTTATGAGTCCTGTCGGTCATGTGCATGTTGTATGCATGCTGTGGAGTGGGATGGTTTTGTTTATGAATCCCCGGAGTATATGGACGCACCCAACTAGGTGTATGCGTACATGCACTCGAGTACTCATACATGCAGACAACACTACATATTTGTACTTCCTTTCATACTTATCCGTTTATGCATACCTAATTGACATTACGTACACACGCAAACTCTTTCATATGCGTTTACCAATCCCTGTACTTACATTCATAAAAAAACGAGTACATCCACACGTAGTGATTGATATTCACTCTTCCATGTCTTATGTGTGTTGTGTCGCTTTGTCTGTAATTTCGTCTGGTCGTGTCACTTTTAAGCTATGTCCCGTTACTGGTATGTGACCTGTCCGGTACTGACGTATCATGTTTTGGTGGATGGTGTGCGATGACGTTCTTGCTGCTTACACCCTTCATTCCATTTGTTCTCATTAATGAACAGACATACAGCAACACAGTTTATGGTTTCTTTGATTGCACTGTTATTCATACACTCACAAATATATAAATATATATTTGTCATGTGTCCATAACTTGCCCACCTCCTGGTAGACTGACATGTCATGTGTCCATAACTTGCCCACCTCCTAGTAGACTGACATGTGATGTGTCCTAACTTGCCCACCTCCTTGTAGACTGACATGTGATGTGTCCATAACTTGCCCACCTCCTAGTAGACTGAAATGTGATGTGTCCTAACTTGCCCCCCTCCTGGTAGACTGACATGTGATGTGTCCATAACTTGCCCACCTCCTAGTAGACTGACATGTGATGTGTCCATAACTTGCTCACCTCCTGGTAGACTGACATGTCATGTGTCCATAACTTGCCCACCTCCTGGTAGACTAACATGTCATGTGTCCATAACTTGCCCACCTCCTGGTAGACTGAGATGTCATGTGCTCCAACAATTTCTCACCTCCTGGTAGACTGAGATGTCATGTGCCCACTGCTTGCTCACCTCCTGATAGACCGAGATGTCATGTGCCTATAACTTGCTCACCTCCAGGTAGATTGAGGTGTCATGTGTCCCAAACTTGCTCACCTTCTAGTAAAATGAGATGTCATGTGCCCACTGCTTGCTCACCTACTGGTAGACTGAGATGTCATGTATCTACAACCTGCTCACCTACTGGTAGACTGAGATGACATGTATCTACAACCTGCTCACCTACTGGTAGACTGAGATGTCATGTATCTACAACCTACTCACCTACTGGTAGACTGAGATGTCATGTATCTACAACCTACTCACCTACTGGTAGACTGAGATGTCATGTATCTACAACCTGCTCACCTACTGGTAGACTGAGATGTCATGTATCTACAACCTACTCACCTACTGGTAGACTGAGATGTCATGTATCTACAACCTAGTCACCTACTGGTAGACTTAGATTTCATGTATCTACAACCTACTCACCTACTGGTAGACTGAGATGTCATGTATCTACAACCTGCTCACCTACTGGTAGACTGAGATGTCATGTATCTACAACCTGCTCACTGGTAGACTGAGATGTCATGTATCTACAACCTACTCACCTACTGGTAGACTGAGATGTCATATACACACAGCTTGCTCGCCTCTTGAAAGACCGAGATGTCGTGTGCCCACTGCCTGCTCACTTCCAGGTAGAGTGATATGTCATGTGTTCACAAATTGCTCACCTCCTGGTAGACTAAGATGTCATGTGTTCACAACTTACTCACCTACTTGTAGACAGAGATGTCATGTGCCTACAGCTAGTTCACCTCCAATTAGATCAGCAACCACGGACAGGAGGCTAACTGAGGCTCTACTATAATTGTTTTGAAAGGTTGAATGAGGTGTCATCAATTTATTGCTGGGATTGGCTTCCAGTAATGGTTCTTTGAGTCGCCATTTATCGATTTTTGTCCAGATAAAAATAGTATTCCCTCCCGTCTCTCAAACCTCCTTTCCCCCATCTCCGCCCCTAAGCACTTAGCCACGTGTGTTTATGTAGCACAGATTGTCTGTCCATATCAGTTCTTAACTTTGTCATCTATGATATACTGACTGTTAAAAAAAAAAAGGAACTTAAATGATATGCTGTTGTGAATATAAAATGACTTGAACCTTGATATTCTGGCTGTTGCGAAGATACAATAAATAAAGCATGATATGCTGGCCGCTGAGAAGATAAAAGAACTAGAGCATGATATGCTGGCCGCTGAGAAGATAAAAGAACTAGAGCATGATATGCTGGCCGCTGAGAAGATAAAAGAACTTAGTGCTTGATACAATGGCTGTTGAGAAGATGGGTTAACTCAAAGCTGCATACCCTGGCTGTTTAGTATGTATAATAACTTGGAGCTGCAAATACTGGCTGTTTAGAAGGTAAACTATCTTACAGTTTGTTATGCTTATGTTAAGAAGATACAAAAACTAGTGCTTGGTATGCTTGTTGTAGGGAAAGTAAAAAACTGAATGAACTTACCAAACTTGTCTTGATAATGAGCAGGCAGGTACCGTTTAACCGGCTTTCCCGTGGTGCCAAAGTTCTTGGGATGGTTGCAGCGACCGTCAATCTGGCGATAACGTAAGTTGTCATAGGACAGCTTGGAGCAGTACTGAAAGCAAAGACAGAAGCAGCGTATTGATCAGAACATCTGCAGCATGTTGTATAATGATGTTGTTGTTCTTGTGATGTTGTTGCTGAAGTTGTGATGTGATCTAATAATTTTGTTGTTGTTTTGCTGGTGTATAATAATGTTATTGTTGTTGTGGTGTTGGGTAATGATGTTATTGCTGTAGTTGTGACAAACTATAAAGAATGTTGTTGCTGTAGTTGTGATGTAGTTTACGAAGCGGTGGTTGTACTTGTGATGTTGTATAATTATGTTGTTGTTGTAGTTGATGATATTATATAATAATGTTGCGATGTAGTGATGTTGAAGAATAAAGTTGTTGCTGTAGTTTTGATGTACTACAATGTTATTGTTCTTGTGATGATATTGTTGCTGTTCTTGTAATGTTGTATGATGATGTTGTTGCTGTAGTTTTGATGTACTACAATGTTATTGTTCTTGTGATGATATTGTTGCTGTTCTTGTAATGTTGTATGATGATGTTGTTGTTGTAGTTGTAGTTGTGATGCTGCATGAAGACGGCTTTGCTGTAATTGTGACCTGGTGCAGTGATTTTATTGCTTGAGTTTCAGAAAGGTATTGTTGCTGTAGCAATATCACAACTACAGAAAGAAAATCATTACACCACATGACAGCTACAGCACCAGCTTCATTACAGCACATCATAACTACAACAACAACTTCATTATACAACATCACAAACAAAGCAACACCATAATTACACTACATTACAACTACAGCAACAGCATCACTATAGCACATCACACCTATAGCAGCAATGTCATTACACTACATCACACCTATAGCAGCAATGTCATTACACTACATCACGACTATAACAAGAGTTTCTTTATAAACATCACTACAGAAACAGCATCACCTACACCACATGACAAGTACATTCAAATATGTCAAACTGATTATAGCGGTGGGTGTCAGCTGGCGCTTTGGTAGTCGTTTGTGGTCAAACAGCAGCATCATCATGTGCCTTGTCAACAGATAGGGTGATTATGTCTCTCCAGTGTCTATTGTCATAAAACAATTATAGCAGAATGGCGGGTGAGGGAGTTGAGTGGCTGTATTAACTAGTGTAT